ACAGTAGATAGATACTGTAGATAGATACATAGATAGATACTGTAGATAGATACTGTCCAGGGAACTTGGCACGGGAGTCACAGCTCTTGGAGAACAAGGTGACTGCAGGAGGAAGGGGCGGCATGGGCCCTGGAATGTGAGAGGAGAGCATAGACACACACAACCACCCACACACACACACACACATACACACACACACATACACACACACACAGACAGACAGCGCGATCTGGGGTAGAGCTCAACTGACACATTGTCAAAATGTGTTAAATTATCAAAACCCATCGGTGTGGCAACGGCAAGCTGGGGACAACATATGGCCTATTCAAAAGCGTCACTTACACCAACCTCCCCTCCCTAAATTCATCCCAAAACACATGCACACACACACACACTATCTCTCACACCTAAACTACAGCCAATCCCAAACGGCGGCAGCGTACATTATTTCTGAACAATTTAGCGATGGCCTCTCTGCCAAGCGATGAGACTGGAAACATCACACTCCTTTCTCTGCCCAAAATGTTTCCTTCTCAGTGCATTGAAATAGCGTTGGCTATGGCCCTGTTTGGTATTGTTGGCAGGTACGCTGAAGGCTAACACACCAACACATCCCTTATACTGACCAGGCTGTGATCTCTTTGCTATTTGGGATGTTTCCAGAGCCATAATGATCCTAAAAAAGTGTCTGTTTAATGAGAACAGAAAGACCCTTTGGCATGTACATATGCGGGACAGGAGGGGCTGGAGGCAGCGGTGTGGTGCAGTTTTGCATCCTCCCCCTCCCCTCCCCCTCCCCCTCCTCCCCCATGGGGCTGAGGGAAAAATGTGAAGTTTTATAGCTAATCTCATGCTATTTTACACAGTTTGCCATGAGGCTGAGAGAAAATGTTGCTGTGGGCACTCCGCCTTGTGGGGGCTGTGGGATGGGGCAGGAGGGTCAATTTCAATGTTAGCCAAAGGAGCTAACAGAGGAGAGAGGGAGGAGAGAGGTGGAGGTGCAACGGGAACAGTGAAGAGCCATATGTTAGTGGGGCAAAGTGATTCTGACAGGAGATGTGGTGGGTTTGGGGTGTAAACCTTTTGGGGACGGTGCCTTCTGTGAGGGGGGGGGGGGGGGGGGGGGGGGGGGGGGCGTTACGTGCGGTGGCATCTGGATAGCCCCGTGCCCAGGTGCCCAATGAGATGACGCCCATTCGACCGTGAGATATCTGACCTGACCAATTAGCAGGGGGGCCTCATGCCAGGTACCGCCCCCACGGCTCTGTCTCGACCAAGAGGCTGAATCTATTTCACCAGAGAAAGCATCCAAGCGAGGCAAACTCTGTCTTAGTGTCTGTACCCATGTCATACTCTTTTTGGCCAGACAGCATCAGATACATGGGCTACACATACTGAGACAGAGGGGCGCTGTTCTGCTGGCTTGGATGTTTTCTCTCCGGTGAGATTGATGAGTTGCTGTCGGTCAAAATTATCAATATATTCAGAGACAACCTATCAGATCTTAGAATTTCTAATATCTAATCTGATTGATGGCCTGATAGATTAGGTTGGGTGTACAGTAGAGTACAATTCAGTTAGCAGGTAGATTAGGAGTGTAGATTGGTCGTCAGGGCCGATGGTCAGATCGACGGTCCACTTGACCCCCCCCAGATCTTAATCAGATCCATTGGCTCTTTCTCTGTGTGTGTGTGTGTGTGTGTTCACCTGATACAGCAACAGGATCTGTCTGCATCATGCCCACTAGCGATCTGGACTAAAGGTTAGGTTCAGGAGGTAAGGTCTGGGACCATTGGAGAACAATGGGTGGACTGACGTCTGTCTCTGTGCGTCTGGAACACAGAGAACAGACTGACCTTTCCATGTGTTGAAACAGAGAGTGAGAGCTGCCTTATGACTGATACACAGACAGTGTCCACAGTGCACGCCTGTGACAGCATGGAGTGGTGGTTGAGGAGAGAGAGAGAGTCTACCGACTGTTCTCTCAGTAATGTTCTTGTTACTAGCCAATGTCTCCTTGAGTGTGTACATTTACTGTGGCCGTGTTTGATTGTTCCAAGTCCTGGGGCCTCATTTTTTCAATGTTGCGTATAAACTATTCTAAAATGCAACTTACGAAACGGAAATTAGAATGTTCGTACGGATAGAAAAAGTGTGATTTATCAAACAACCCTACGAGCGTCATACGTACACCGATAGGAGATAACGGTTGATAATCACCAGTTGTTGTCAGTCTCAGTGCTCGTGCACAACCTTGGCTATTTGCATTTCGAAACGCCCCTAATTAACCATATATGATCAAAATCAAATCTTTATAGACCATAGGGGCATATACAACGCCGTACCATGAAATACAACGACGCAACCAAAAAAAAGCTAGGAAAAAAAACAAACATTTCAGAGACTGAAATAGAGGTGCTCGTGTCTCAAAAGGTTTTATTTGGCTCGCTGAGTTTTGCCCCCCCACCCCCCTTCTAGCTCCAACTCTACTGATAGCTACGTTATTGAGGAAAAATGTACTTTCCATGCCTGTGATGTGTGGTTGTCCCACCTAACTATTTTAAGATTAAAATGCACTAACTGTAAGTCGCTCTGGATAAGAGTGTCTGCTAAATGACTAAAATGTAAATGTAAAATGCATGTATTACTGTTCGTTTGGCTGATTATTGCATCCAAATTATTGGCTCACCGAGGGCTGTGCGATGCCAATCGGCAAGCTCTCGCTGAAATATGCCCATTGCCAGAAACCTGAGGGCTGATGTGCATGGGAATGGCATGTGTTTGCCTTTCTAAAGTAAGTCTTAAATCCTCGCAACAATCCTATAAGATTGTTTTTTTGGAAACGGTATCTGATGAGCCAATCTGTACTTTCTGCAGAAAAAGTCTGACCTGTCTCTAAAAACAACCTCTCTGTGAAATGCAGCGTGTGCGAAAATCTCCAAACAGAGCAAGTCATCTCTCATTCCATTTCCCATTATCTCAGTCTTTTATTTACACAATGGTTTCACTTTCACACCTACCTCTAATTTAACAAATTACAGTACTTCATATGGATTATTTTAGTAACAAATGCAATGATGTGGTGAAATTATATCAAGTCAATCAAGAAATGGATTCACGGTAGAAATACAATATAATTTAAAAAGGATTTAATTATTACTCTCACAATCTCACACATTTTCAACAAATATTCTCCCCTTTCTTACGCTTGACAAGCAGTTCCCTTTTCCACCACTTGGCACTGTGCGTACGCATGGTCATGGTTGTGCGCACATTTACTCACACTCTCAAGCCAACGTTCATATTGATAAATCTCACACGTTGCGTGGAAATGATCCCACGCATGGTTTATGCACAGACTGTGCCTGTGCATGATTGATAAATGAGGCCCCTGGTGCTTCTACAGTCTTTTTTATGTCCAACAGATTTTTTTAATGCTCAGAAAACTTGGTGGGCCAAATAAAACCACCTGTGGGCCAAATTCGGCCCGTAGGCCGCCAGTTGGGGAACCATGTCATAGGCGCTGTCTTGGCTAAATGAGTGCACATACCATAGACATTTGGGTCGGCAGACAGCTTGGGTCGGTCAGGCAGCCTGTCTGCCCCTCATGGGCTCCTTAGAATAAGCTTGACTGTTTCCCTGGCAACCCCACAGCAACAACAATAGGTCTCAGCAATGCAGGGCTTTGGGATGTTGCTGCTTAGATCACTGTTTCCACTGTGGCATTTTAACCTGTGTGTCTGAGTGTGTTTTTGTTTTTGTGTGAAAACATGATTCTTGGAGGTCATACTTGGGGTCATGTTGTTGGTTCGTAACTGTAGCAACATGTTCAATTCAGGCCTACCTCTTGTTCCAACAAGAACATGCTGTATAGGTAAATATCCATAGGAGATAACCAGTAAGCAAAATTACATTGAAAATACATATTTTCCAGATGTTGAAATTAGGTTCATTTTCGGTTCTGAATTACTTTTGAAAATAATAATTTTCTGGACGATAAAAAAACATATTTTCCAGACGTTGAAAACACGTATTTTATGGACGATGAAAACACGTATTTTATAGATGTTGAAAACACGTATTTTACGGAAGATGAAAACACGTATTTTACGGACGTTGAAAAAAACTTATTTTTTTTCGGTCATTGTTTTTATTCATTCACTTATGTCTACATGTCAATGAAGAAAGCATTATATCACATTAAATATTTTGAATTCCACTTAAAATGAGAAAACGGAGTTAACTGAAGATTGCAGTATGGAATATTCACATGCACTTATGTTAGCTTTTTCAAAAGCTTTAGAACTGGCAGCGATCATGTTGAAAATAGTTTTTTCATCTATGTCTGGTTCAGATTTGGTCTGGTTCGGACTCACCTTGATTTCAACTTTCACAGACGTCTGGTCAGGATCGGACTTCATTTTAACCAATAATCTTAACCAATCATAGATGTCTATGTCTGGTTCAGATTTGGTCCATACACCTTGGCCTTGATTTCAACATCCACATGTCGTTTTTTGGTCCGGTCTGGACTAGTCTTATTTATGGTACAGTATAATGGTGCAGTGTAGGGGTAATATAACCTATCATTATATAAATCTAGGACAAAAGTATTGACCTTTCTTTAGGCCTAACATTGATTTTAGATCATTCCTTTTTTATGAACTACGAATACACAGCATCCACTTCCCTAGCAAAGACACAAAAAACGAGTCATCCTCTCATGTTTCCATGGAGACGCCACTGGTGTGACCCTTGGTTATATCAAGTCAGAAAAACAAACCCCAGATCCAAACTGATGACGCACCATCCTGGTTGACAGACCCAAACTGCCGTGGCTGCCAGAAAGCGGAATAATACGTCTGCTGATTCGGGTCTGGCTCTCCTTTAGTTCCTCTCAGGTTAAGCAGACTTAGGGATAATTCCGCTGATAATTCCCGGGACCGGCAGTCCCAGCCTCTCCCACCGGGAGTCCTGATTCCCCCCCTCCGGCTGGAGCCATGGCATGCGGAGCGGCTTTCTACCGCCTCCCCGGGAGCGCGGCCTCGGACACGGCAGCCAGAGCCGTGGTAACGGTCTCCGAGGCTGAGCCCCCAGTGCTGGTTGCCAGGCGCTAAGATGCACACTCGCCACTCTGGGGGTATGTGTCTGAGTGTCTGGGGGAGGCAGAGGGAGAGGGGGAGAAGGAGGGGGGGGATGTAAGCTGGCAGTCTTGATTGACAGAACGACTCAGCAACATTCCAGTAACCTCTGAGAGCTCGTCTAGAGAAGTTGTGTCTGGGAAGAGTGGAGTGTTGAACCATTATTTGGGGTAGAGGAGCTGTCACTCAAGCAGTGTATCAGAGCAGTAGAGACGGGAAAGTCATTACAGAGCAACACTCGTTGAAAGTGAAACCTAGATTATGTTTAAACCTAGAAACCTAGATTATGTTTAAACCTAGAAACCTAGATTATGTTTAAACCTAGAAACCTAGATTATGTTTCAACCTAGAAACCTAGATTATGTTTAAATCTAGAAACCTAAATTATGTTTAAATATAGAACCCTAGATTATGTTTAAACCTAGAAACTTAGATTATGTTTACACCTAGAAACCTAGATTATGTTTACATCTAGAACCCTAGATTATGTTTAAACCTAGAAACCTAGATTATGTTTATATCTAGAAACCTAAATTATGTTTAAACCTAGAAACCTAGATTATGTTTAAACCTAGAAACCTAGATTATGTTTAAACCTAGAAACCTAGATTATGTTTAAATCTAGAAACCTAGATTATGTTTAAACCTAGAAACATAGATTATGTTTACACCTAGAAACCTAGATTATGTTTAAACCTAGAAACCTAGATTATGTTTAAATCTAGAAACCTAGATTATGTTTAAACCTAGAAACCTAGATTATGTTTACACCTAGAAACCTAGATTATGTTTAAATCTAGAAACCTAAATTATGTTTAAATGTAGAACCCTAGATTATGTTTAAACGTAGAAACCTAGATTATGTTTCAATCTAGAAACCTAGCTTATGTTTACACCTAGAAACCTAGATTATGTTTAAATCTAGAAACCTAAATTATGTTTAAATCTAGAACCCTATATTATGTTTAAACCTAGAAACCTAGATTATGTTTACACCTAGAAACCTAGATTATGTTTACATCTAGAACCCTAGATTATGTTTAAACCTAGAAACCTAGATTATGTTTACACCTAGAAACCTAGATTATGTTTAAATCTAGAAACCTAAATTATGTTTAAACCTAGAACCCTAGATTATGTTTAAACCTAGAAACTTAGATTATGTTTACACCTAGAAACCTAGATTATGTTTACATCTAGAACCCTAGATTATGTTTAAACCTAGAAACCTAGATTATGTTTATATCTAGAAACCTAAATTATGTTTAAACCTAGAAACCTAGATTATGTTTCAACAAACCCTAGAAACCTAGATTATGTTTAAACCTAGAAAACCTAGATTAATGTTTAAACCTAAAACCTAAAATTATGTATAACCTAGAAACCTAGATTAATGGTTTTAAACCTAGAAACCTAGATTATGATTTAAACCTAGAAACATAGTATATAGGTTTAAAAACATAGAAACCTAGGATTATGTTTAAACTGTTTATGGTTAAACTCTCTCTCTCTCTCGTCTCTCTTTCTCTTCCCTCGCTCACTCCTTCTCATCCCATCTCTCCTCTCTCTCTCTATCTCCGCTGTCTGCTCATCTCTCTTCCTCTCTCTCTCTTCTCCGTCTCCTCTCTCTCCTCTCTCTCTCTCCTCTCTCCTCTCTCGCTCTCTCTCTCTCTCTCTCTCTATCTCTCTCTCCAGTCTGTTTGCAGTGCGGTGTGGTGGCTGTGAAGAGGCCATCTCCCCTGCAGAGCTGGTGATGCGTGCTGGGGCTGCAGTGTTCCACCTGGCCTGTTTTAGCTGCAGTCTGTGCTCCTGTCGTCTGCAGACTGGAGACTGTTGTGTCCTCAGGGAAGGACGGTTACTCTGTGCCAGAGACTACAAAAAGGAGGTGGACAGACCCACCTCCACAGATTCAGGTACAGGGTCTGTCGGTGTGTGTGTGTGTCTATAAACCTCAGAATGGTTATATATGGATTTTTTTACCATTTGTCCTGTCTTGGCAGGTGAAAGTTATGATGAGGAGGAGGAGGAGGAAGAGAAAGAGGGTAGTGTGAAGGCTTCAGGCAGACGTGGCGGCGGAGCAGACGACCCTGAACACAAACGACCCAAACGTCCGCGCACCATTCTGACCACTCACCAGAGACGGGCCTTCAAAGCGTCCTTCGAAGTCTCCTCCAAGCCCTGCCGGAAGGTGGGGGCTTAGGGTACAACACACCATGAAGGGCTCCTAAAAAAAATGCAGAAAGGCTGGGGGTGTAGTTTGCACTTTGAAGGGTCCTCAGTCAGAATACTCTCCAAGAGTTGATTATTGTCCATCAAGGGTCTGAGGTTTGATCGCTGTACTGTTAAGAGTCATCATGGAAGGTTTGATAGCTGTAGTTAATAGGCTGTACAGTTAAGAGTCATCATGGAAGTGTCCTTATATTAGGACAGATAGACTACAAGGGTCATATCACGTTTACTTCCTCTCTCTCCTTCCCTCTGTCCCCCCCTCTTCCCTCCCTCTGTCCTCCCCTCTTCCCTCCCTCTGTCCTCCCCTCTTCCCTCCCTCTGTCCCCCCCTCTTCCCTCTTCCCCCTCCCCCTCTGTCCCCCTCTTCCCTCTCTGTCTCCCTCTTCCTCCCTCTGTCCTCCCCTCTTCCTCCTCTGTCCCCCCTCTTCCCTCCCTCTGTCCCCCCCTCTTCCCTCCCTCTGTCTCCCTCTTCCCTCCCTCTGTCCTCCCCTCCCTCCTCTGTCCTCCCCTCTTCCCTCCCTCTGTCCTCCCCTCTTTCCCCCTCGTCCTCCCCTCTTCCCCTCCCCTCTGTCCCTACCCTCTTCCTCCCTCTGTCCTCCCATCTTCCTCCCCTTCCCTCCCTCTTGTCCTCCCCTCTGTCCTCCCTCTTCCCTCCTGTCCTCCCCTCTTCCCTCCCTCTGTTCTCACCCTCTTCCCTCCCTCTTCTCCCTCTTCCTCCCTCTGTCTCCCTCCCTCTTCCTCCCTCTGTCCCTCCCTCTGTCCCCCCTCTGTCCCCCTCTGTCCCTCCCTCTTCCTCGCCCTCTTCCATCCCTCTGTCCCCCTCTTCCCACCTCTTCCCTCCCTCTTGTCCCTCCCTCGTCCTCCCTCTGCCTCCCCTTCCCTCCCTTGTCCCCCCTTCCCTCCGCTGTCCTCTCCCTCTCTGTCCTCTCCCTCTTCCTCCCCCTTCCCCTTCCTCTGCCCTCCCTCGTCCCCCCTCTTTCCTCCTCCTCTCTGTCCCTACCCTCTGTTCCCCCCCTCTTCCCCCCCTCTTTCCTCCCTCTGTCCTCCCCTGGTCCCCTCCTCTTCCTCCCTCTCTGTCCCTACCCTCTTCCCCCCTCTTTCCCTCCCCTGTTCCTCCCTCTTTCCCCCCCCAGTCCCCTCTGTCCACCCCTTTCCCTCCCTGGCTCCCTCCCTTAATCCCGGGTCCGGTCCCGATCGTTCTCTTTTCCCTCCCTCTTTCCTCCCCTCTATCCCCACCTTCCTGCACTCCCCTCTTCCCTCCCTCTTCCCTCCCTCTGTCCCCCACGTGCCCTCTTCCCCCCCTGTCCCCCTCTTCCCTCCCTCTTCCCCCCTCTTCCCTCCCTCTGTCCCCCTCTTCCGTCCCCCTCCCTCTGTCCCCCCTCTGCCTCCCCGTCCCTAATCCCCCTCTGTCCCCCCTCTTTCCCCCCTTGTCCTCCCCTCTGTCCCTCCCTCTGTCCCCCCCTCTTCCCTCCCTCTTCCTCCCTCTGGGCCCTCCCCTTTCCCCCCCCCCTTCCCTCCCTCTGTCCCCCCTCTTTCCCTCCCCCCTGTCCCCCCCTTTTTCCCCCCCCTGTCCTCCCCTCTTTTCCCCCCCTGTCCTCCCCCTTCCCCCCCTCGTTTTCCCCCCCCCTTCCTCCCCCCTTTCCCCCCCCTCTTCCCTCCCTCTGTCCCCCCCCCCTTCCCCCCCCTCTTCCTCCCCTCTTCCCTCCCTCTTCCCCCCCTCTTCCCTCCCTCTGTCCCCCCCCTCTTCCCCCCCTCTTCCCCCCTCTTCCCTCCTCTGTCCCCCCCTCTTCCTCCCTCTGCTCCCCCTCTGTCCCTCCCTCTTTTCCCCCCCTCTTCCCTCCCTCTTTCCTCCCCTCTTCCCTCCCCTTTTCCCCCTCTTTCCTCCCCCTCTTCCCCCCTCTGTCCCCCCTTTCCCCTTTCCCCTTCCCCCCCTCTTCCCCCCGTTCCCCCCCTTTTTCCCCCCCCCCCTTTTCCCTCCCCTTTCCTCCCCCCCTTCCCTCCCCTTTCCCCCCCCCTTCCCCCCCTCTTCCTCCCCCCCCTTCCTCCCTCTTCCCCCCCTTCCCCCCTCTGTCCTCCCCTCTTCCCTCCCTCTGTCCCCCCCTCCCCCCCTCTTCCCCCCCTCTGTCCCCCCTCCCTCCCTCCCCCCCTCTTTCCCTTCCCTCTGTCCTCCCCCCTTTCCCTCTGTCCCCCCTCTTCCTCCCCCCTTCCCTCCCTCTGTCCCCCCTCTTCCTCCCCCCCTTCCCTCCCCTTTCCCCCCCCTCTTCCCTCCCTCTGTCCTCCCCTCTTCCCTCCCCTTTCCCTCCCCTGTTCCCCTCTCCCTCCCCTTCTTTCCCTCCTCTTCCCCTCCCTCTTTCCCCCCCTCTTCCCCTCCCTCTGTCCCCCCCTCTGTCCCTCCCTCTTTCCTCCCCCTCTTCCTCCCTCTGTCCGCGTCCCTCTTTCCCCCCCTCTGTCCCTTCTTTCCTCCCCTCTTCCCTCCCTCTGCCCCCCCCCCTCTTCCCTCCCTCTCTCCTCCCCCTTTCCCTCCCTCTGTCCCCTTTCCCTCTTCCTCCCTCTGTCCCTCCCTCTTCCCCCCCTCTGTCCTCCCTCTGTCCCCCCCCCTGTCCCTCCCTCTTCCTCTCCTCTCCAAGGTAAGGGAGACCTTGGCAGCGGAGACAGGTCTGAGCGTGAGAGTCGTGCAGGTCTGGTTCCAAAACCAAAGAGCCAAGGTACAGTAATGTGATGCTGCCCACTCCCACGCCCACCACCCACCCTTCTCCCTCTCATACCCCCCCCCCCCCACAACACTTGCCAACCTCCCAGATACTTTCATGTGTACCATTAATAACGGAACTCTTTCGGCAGTGTGCTGTGTTGCCAACCTGGAAATCACTCCTGTTATCTCTCTATTCAGGAAACTGATGACATCTCACTCATAGATCCTTCCAGAGATGCACTGTATTACCTTACAATGGGCAGCCGCATGTGGTTTTCCCTCTAGGAAATATGTTATTTTCTTTCCCTCCACTATTAATGCATTTCAACTGAGTGAACATGTTCCTATGAAGACTAGGTTTGTAGGAGCAGCAAAGGGAGGTTGGGAGAGAGGCTGTGGAGTGAGACGGAACTGTATATGTAATTAAATAATATTTCTGTTTACACTACCGTTCAAAAGTTTGGGGTCACTTAGAAATGTCCTTGTTTTCATTGACAAGGTTAGAAATAATGATTTTTAATTGAAATAATAATTGTGTCCTTCAAACTTTGCTTTTGTCAAATAATCCTCCATTTGCAGCAATTACAGCCTTGCAGACCTTTGGCATTCTAGTTGTCAATTTGTTGAGGTAATCTGAAGAGATTTCACCCCATGCTTCCTGAAGCACCTCCCACAAGTTGGATTGGCTTGATGGCCACTCCATTATAGACAGAATACCAGCTGACTGCTTCTTCCCTAAATAGTTATTGCATAGTTTGGAGCTGTGCTTTGGGTCATTGTCCTGTTGTAGGAGGATATTTGCTCCAATCAAGCGCCGTCCACAGGGTATGGCATGGCGTTGCAAAATGGAGTGATAGCCTTCCTTCTTCAAGGTCCCTTTTACCCTGTACAAATCTCCCACTTTACCACCACCAAAGCACCCCCAGACCATCACACTGCCTCCAACATGCTTGACAGATGGCATCAAGCACTCCTCCAGCATCTTTTCATTTGGTCTGCGTCTCACAAATGTTCTTCTTTGTGATCCGAACACCTCAAACTTCAATTCGTCTGTCCATAACACTTTTTTCCAATCTTCATCTGTCCAGTGTCTGTGTTATTTTGCCCATCTTAATCTTTTCTTTTTATTGGCCAGTCTGAGATATGACTTTTTCTTTACAACTCTGCCTAGAAGGTCAGCATCCCGGAGTCGCCTCTTCACTGTTGACATTGAGACTGGTGTTTTCGGGTACTATTTAATGAAGCTGCCAGTTGAGGACCTGTGAGGCATCTATTTCTCAAACTAGACACTCTAATGTATTTGTCCTCTTGCTCAGTTGTGCACCGGGGCCTCTCACTCCTCTTTCTATTCTGGTTAGAGCCAGTTTGCGCTGTTCTGTGAAGGGAGTAGTACACAGCGTTGTACGAGATCTTCAGTTTCTTGGCAATTTCTCGCATGGAATAGCCTTCATTTCTCAGAACAAGAATAGACTGACGAGTTTCAGAAGAAAGTTATTTGTTTCTGGCCATTTTGAGCCTGTAATCGAACCCACAATTGCTGATGCTCCAGATACTCAACTAGTCTCAAGAAAGGCCAGTTTTATTGCTTCTTTAATCAGCACAACAGTTTTCAGCTGTGCTAACATAATTGCAAAAGGGTTTTGTAATGATCAATTAGCCTTTTAAATGATAAACTTGGATTAGCAAACACAACGTGCCATTGGAACACAGGACTGATGGTTGCTGATAATGGGCCTCTGTTCGCCTATGTAGATATTCCATTAAAAATCAGCCATTTCCAGCTACAATAGCCATTTACAACATTAACAATGTCTACACTGTATTTATGATTTTGTCTACACAATTTGATGTTATTTTAATGGACCAAAAAATTGCTTTTCTTTAGAAAACAAGGACATTTCTAAGTGACCCCAAACTTTTGAACGGTAGTGTACGTTGTAGATGTAACTGTATACATAATGAAATTATATTTCTGTTCATATTGTAGATCCAACTGTATACATAATGAAATTATATTTCTGTTCATATTGTAGATCCAACTGTATATGTAATGAAATGATATTTCTGTTCATATTGTAGATCCAACTGTATATTTAATGAAATTATATTTCTGTTCATATTAGATGTACTGTAATGTAATGCATTAATTCTGTTCATATTGTAGATGTAACTGTATTGTAATGAAATTATATTTCTGTTCATATTGTAGATGTAACTGTATTTGTAATGAAATTATATTTCTGTTCATATTGTAGATGTAACTATATTTAATGAAATTAT